GTTTTATATCTTTCGTTAGTTCTAGTAATCTATATCACACGATTATACATTTGCCCGAAAATTATTTTCAAAGTATACTGATTACGTGAACATAAAGAGCAATATACCTATACTGTACAATTCAAAAAGATATGCTGAAACAATCGTTCAACAAGAAGCACAAGTTTACAAATCTGTGCAAAAAAAAGTATGAATATTTACATACCGAATAACAATCGACGAGAAATAATTAATAATTTCAATGAAGCAACAAGCATTAAAACGTTGAACAACTTGGTAGAAAAACTTCATTTAAATGCCAAATGACACGTTGCAAGCACTCATCAATATCTTCTAATAGTATCTACATGCTTAGTAGCAGATACAAGGAAGACATTGCTTTATATTACCTTTCCTTTACAAGTCCTACCAATTTACACAATTAACATTCTACTAGATGTCTCCATTTGCGTTGTTTGTGTACAATTTGATTAAACAATTCGCGTTTGATTGCTCAAGTACTGATTGTAATTAGCATGGCTAAACAGCTGACACAAACATGTAAATGTATCGACGCACGAACCTGAATCTTATTCCCTGAAGAAACATCTCTCTTGTCTTTAAAAGCTATACATGTCCGTATACATTCTCTTATTAAAAAAACTTATTGGTATTGCAGATAATTCAAGAGCCATCTTCGTCAATTCAGCTGACACATTGAACAGTAAGACTTGAAGCAATTAATGATCACTTTGCACATAGTGTGCAAGCACACAAGCTTCTGTTTCACTAGACTTTATTGCATGGAATGGAATATAAGTAAAAATTGACAAAGGTAATGCACAAGACAAGAGTGACATTTAAAATGATAAAGTGGAAACTATCTTGGACATACACCTTCAACACATGATCATTTCAATTCTTTTCGTTTAACAGACTGTCAGCATAGAATGTTTCAAGCATAATTTTGCTGTATCTTACAACGCAAGTACAAATTTTAATACTTTACAGCCACATGTATAATTCAAACGTCGTCTTTTAATTTAAGGTAAAGCTTAGTGAGTAAAAATTCCTCAAACAAGAGAAATTAAACTCGCGATAAAATTTCCAATTACTTAAGCCGCTGGCAATACATATACAACATGTTGTTCCATATAACAGAATTATTAAAACAAGCAATCAGATATTATATCAACTATAAATGACAGTATTATAGTAAATTTTTCATAGTGTAATGTAATACTTTCTTTAGTAATCCTACTTTCTATTTATACAGCGAATCTTCAT